AAGTTATACCCGTCCGTGAGCGACCCCTGTCCATAATCTATTTGTTTTCTCCATCATAATGTAAACCATGGTTAACAAATTAAAACAGTGGTTCAGTGACTATTGTTTGGCCGCTAGATGTCTCCCGCAAAATAATTATCGGATAGGTAATTCAAACCAGACTTTTGTCGTCCCAGTACAGCTTCCGAACCTCATTTTACCGTCCCCAGAGCTTCCGAACCTCTCAATTCTTCCGGGAAGGATATTTCATTTAAAATGGGCAATTTCTACTTAAAACGGGACTAATTTGATTATTTAAGCACCATATCTATCAATCCTTAACATTTGCATAAGATTTTTTTACACAAATCACGTTGGGTGGCTGTGATAACCCAATGAGGCAAGGGCGTAAACAGAAATAATTCTGGGGGGGGGGGCAATAATTTTTTTGCACCCCCCAGGAGTTCATAGGGGGTGGCAAAAACTGTAAATTCAAAACATTTGACTTCTTGGTTATCAGGCATCAGTATAAGATACTTTAAAGGTTCACATACTGTGCGATTACCTTGCATGTACTATACTTTATTTCTCCAAACTAGCAGAAAAAAACTTTCCTAAAAATCGGCTTATTATGCTTATGTTAGTGATAATTGGTAACTAGAAATGGTCTTTTACTACTTCCAAACTCAAGCCAAGGGGCTGCTCCCTTTCCCCCCCCCCTGTATACGCCCTTGCATTAAGGACTTCTGCACCCCCCCCCCCTGGTTGGGCTGCCTGTTTACTGAAAATTTTTATTACCTCACCTACCCGTAATTATAATATTATCTCCATGTGGGTTTCAACGAAACCGTAGATTCTCTTGCGCAACAGTTTCGCGTTTTTGCACGAAATTACCTAGACAAATTTTACCTAAATTTTGTATAAATACGAAACCAGGTTTGCACGAACTTGTCATTCGAAATAAATATCTATTTTTGAACGAAATTGCGGATAAAAGTCGTTTTTGCATGATTTTGCGCAGGAATGCGAAAATAAATAACATTTGTTTTATGATATTGCTCATATGTTTCATGATATTGCTCAAATATATCAAGGATTCAAATATTGGTATAGTATGATGTTGATTAGTTTCAGTAAAAAACGACCTCCATATCTGCGATAAAAAAGCGCTTTTGATCGCTACTAATCTTACTTCTATCTGTTGCGTCTATAAGGAGAAACTTGATAAAGACGTCTCATACCGAATAACTTAGGGCCCATACAAATTCATAAAATTGCAACTTACGTCTTAGACCGTAAAAAATCCATTTAATTTCAAACAAATAATTCAGATTTTACAACCTATAGTCTTCTATTATCTTTCGCCACATTTGTATATAGTTAATATTTTATAATATTTTATCTTTTTAGAAAACGTTTTAACTGATTTCGAAAAATGTGGGTGGTGCGCGGCATTCATAGATAGTTGCGCAAGCCGCAAGAGAAATAATCAAATTCAAAACAAATTAATTAAAAAGCGCTTTTTTATCGCATTAAGCCTATACCCCTTCATTTTTCGCGAACACTCCCTTTAACAAAAATTTAATTTTTATCCTTTTCTTTTGTTGACACGGTAAAAATGTTGGTTACTTTCCTAAATAATTTTTTTATGATTAATATGTTACGACAATGTTTTTGTACAGATTTTTAATTTAGAATGTTTGCGGTGAAGCTGTTAGCGCTGTGTTTCTTAGTTGGAGTAGTTTACTCTACGGTAAGTTTAAATGTCGTCTTACGTTACACATTTCTTTGAATCATTCATGAGGGATTTTATTTATTAATTCTTTTTTAACGCACATTTCTTTCATTAAAATTTATCTGTTTTCACAAATGAAGAAGTTTCTGCAGCTGGTGCCGTGCGCGCAGGTGCCATTAACTGAGGAGATTAATAGAATCCTACGTAAGCATACTTTTAAAATGTGCAGTACACTAAGATTGTGCCTTTTTACTGTGAAATTTTTACTTTTCAAACTCGAAGATTATTGAAATGTCTTCTCCATATTTCGGCTCATGGGTCTAGCTGTATTTTCTCAATCTTTTAGTTTGTTCTAAATCCATTTTTTGTAGGAAGCTCCCAAATATGTAGCTCCCAAGAATGAAACTCCTAAAAACAAAACGGACTCTCCCAGCTACAAAGATATTGCAGAGATTCCTGTGGATTATGTTCCTGGAATGAGATCTGCTGCTGCTATTGCTAGCACCCCGGAGAAGGATAAAATTCAACAGTACAAGGTGACTTAATCAATTTTTATTTTATTATTATTATTTGCAAATAATTAAATTTAGTTTTCACAAAGATAACTTGTTTTGAAGCTAAATGAGCTCGTAAATATGAATTGGATATTATTGAACTCTGTGCAGATAAGGTAAATATGAATTGGATATTATTGAACTCGGTGCAGATAAGGTAAATATGAATTGGATATTATTGAACTCGGTGCAGATAAGGTAAATATGAATTAGATATTATTGAACTCTGTGCAGATAAGGTAAATATTAATGGGATATTATTGAATTCGGTGCTGAAAAGGTAAATATGAATTGGATATTATTGAACTCTGTGCAGATAAGGTAAATATTAATTGGATATTATTGAACTCGGTGCAGATAAGGTAAATATGAATTGGATATTATTGAACTCGGTGCTGAAAAGGTAAATATGAATTGGATATTATTGAACTCTGTGCAGATGAGGTAAATATGAATTGGATATTATTGAACTCGGTGCAGATAAGGTAAATATGAATTGGATATTATTGAACTCGGTGCAGATAAGGTAAATATGAATTGGATATTATTGAACTCGGTGCAGATAAGGTAAATATGAATTGGATATTATTGAACTCTGTGCAGACAAGGTAAATATGAATTGGATATTATTGAACTCTGTGCAGATAAGGTAAATATGAATTGGATATTATTGAACTCGGTGCAGATAAGGTAAATATGAATTGGATATTATTGAACTCTGTGCAGATAAGGTAAATATGAATTGGATATTATTGAACTCTGTGCAGATAAGGTAAATATGAATTGGATATTATTGAACTCTGTGCAGATAAATTGCTTGATGGATTTTGGTCCTTTTTAACATTTGCCCCTTTTTGAGATGTTCCTATTCTCATAAATATCTAAATCTATAACTTTGAATTTATTTTTAGGATAAGAAATATCCCGATTCCTTCACGCCTACTCCTTCTTACCAATCGTCCCCCCCACCTCCATACCAAGGAGATAATAAGCCTCCACCCAGACCCTATTCTGGACCTAACCCCTTCCCTGGACCTAACCCCTTCCCTGGACCTAACCCCTTCCCTGGACCTAACCCCTTCCCTGGACCTGACCCTTACAAGAATGTTCCCTACCCAAGTTCTCCCTTCTCTGGAGGTCGTCCCGAGCAATCATACCAGCCTGTGAATAGGTATCCAGGCCCCCAGGGACCAGCCTACCCTCTCTACCCTGGACTACAATCTGCCAGTGGAAACCAGTATCCTCCCTTCTACCAACCATTTCGTCCCCAGCAATCCGAGGAACGGGAGACGTATTACGAAGAGGGAGAATATCACCCAGAAGCATTCGAAGAGAAATATTCTGGTTCCTCCTACCCAGCTATACCAGGATACCCTTCATACCCTCCTCACTGCCCTACCAAGTGCAACGTTGATGTAGGTTCAGAACTTAGTTTTACGTTGCTAGATATTTAAATTTAAAGTTTTGTTATATTTATCTAAAATTAAATGAGAATGAAACAACTAACATAACTAATCGTAGTTATTATTGATTTTGGTTTACTCCCCCCCCCCGCTCCTCTCCTGAGATATGCAATATATTTTCTGTTTTCTAGTTGTACAATAAATGCACGTGTTTGAGCCCTGCTGCCTACACTGCTGATGGTCGTGGTAATTGCAACGTCGGAGCTTCTAAGATGGATCTTAGGGTGAGATTTTAAAGAATTTTCTGAAGCTGGGATTGTATTTGGGTTGTCAAATCAGTTAAGATTAGTTTTAGGACTGTTTTACTATTTTCCAATAAGAGCTCTTTAATTTTCCAAATTTTGACTGGCTAATAATATATATGCAATGAACATTTTTTTGAGATAAAAATACAGTATACAGTTATTAAATTTGGGACTTTCTCAGTTCTAATAAAAGTCGAAGCTTCGCCCCCCTTACCATTAACAATTTATTTTTAGCCTATCCCGTGTTAAGGTTTGGTGTTATGTTGATCCTAAGGAGGGAAACCCTACTGATCTTTGCCCTGATGCACTCCCTAGTAAAAACAAGCACGGATATTTCTGGTCCAGAATTGCTTGTATTACTAAATGAATATTTAGATTTTATATGTATCTCGTAAATTTGATTTTAATAAATTTTATATCTACGTAGTTGCACGTTTCTAACATTTTCTCTTCTTGGATTAAAATTCTCAAATAACAAGGGAAACTTATTGCAACACACAGATAGCCTTAATTATTTAACGTGGTTTGAATTCGGTTTTCTTTAACGATAGATCTAGAAATATATTTTTAACGTTAAATTAAACAAGAAACTATTATTTTGTTTTGTAATTCTCGTAAAAATGAAGGGAAAATGAGGATTGGAAAGACTTGTGAACGTGCATATTAGATCTTGGACTCCTTGCTCGGTAGAACTTTGGCAATGTTCTATATGTTTAGTTAATGGTTAACAAAGCTGGATGCTCATGTCGCACATTATACTTGCTTTGATTAATGGTAATATCATTTGACCCTAGAGGATGGAGGTGTAGAGCCGCCATGAGCCCCGCGAAATGTCTTCCGGAGCCTCCTGAATGACTTCTAAACCCATCTCTCTGCCTCCCGAGTCTCTGTACGTTTTCAAGTCTCCGCGCCCCATGAATCATCACTTGCTGATCAGTTTTTTTTATTTACCTTTTATGACTTAGCCAATTAAAAGTCGAAATATATTTGTTTATAGTATAATCCACATAAGTTCAAAGAATCGTTCAATCCACAATCTTACAAACATAAATTCATTTAATTGATCTTAACTTTTCTTAAGTTTACATTGAGCATTTCCAAATCTGAAGATAGATAAATCTGCAATAGTTAAAAACAAGTAAAGGAATTTTTGAAATTAAAAAAAAACAAATAATAGTCTGAATTCCCCCGCCAATTGTATCATTAAACACAAAGATTATTTGAATGAAAAGGTTTTCAGTGGATGTAAAAGACAAATTTTTCAAAACTTAGTTACACATTAATGAGCTGGGTCTAATAAAATAATGAAGGGTCCTGTATACGACCCTGCCTGTGTTCTCTTATTTAATTAAAAATGCTATCTCTGTTCCATAATTTCAGTTTGTGCTGGAATATAAGGATACTAAGATAAAAAAGGGTTAATTAGTTTAATCTCTAACTTGATACTTAATTAAACAGGATTATTTTACACGCCTGGTTAGAGGTTAAAGGGTACAAATACTATCAGGAAATTAACAAGTCGGAAAAAAAATTTAAACAAATTGAATGAATTAAAAATAAGCAAGATAAACTCATTTACTAACTAATGTGGATGAAATAAGATGATGGGTTTTAACACTGCAGCTAAGAAAAGATAATGGGTTTTAACACTGAAGCTAGGACAAAATAACACGGGTTCAAACACTACAGCGAGGACAAGATAATTAGTTCAATCACT